TTGATCCCTTCAACTGGAGAGGGGGTACCTCTTGGAGTACCGCCCATGTTACACAGAGTGACTCAAAACACTTTGAGGTGATTTAAGGGAAGATGTAGGTTCAGATGTGAATCATAATTTGAGGAACAACATACGTTATATGTATACGTATAAACAACAAATTATATACACCTGTGAGACAACTCCCACCGCTGCATGTACCCCTGGGCAAGCATGCGAGGGGGGGGCATATGTCCCCCATATCTCTGCGTGGGGCAAGGGCAGGCTGCTGCTGTGGGCTTTGCCCTAGGTACCAAACTTTATTGCTACAACACTAGCCTGGCTGCTCTGCTCTGCACAGCTCTGTGCCAGAGCCAAGGGGCTTCTCAACAGGACAGAAGAGTTTTTGTTTTGTACGGTTATTTGTTGGTTTGTTTGTTGCCTAAAGACTTTGGGAGGACTGGCTGTGGAGCTCCTCAGGGAACAAAGTGTGCCTGTAGTAGCCATCAGCCTAGGTAACCTGCTTACAGTAATAATCATATTATATTATGCTACATACTGAAAATAGAGGTAGAATGATTTTCTAAATCGTCTTGTAGTTTGTTGTGTCTTTTAAGACAACATGGAATCATTGCTGTGGATTGGGTAAGAGGATCATTTGAATCATTGTTTCAGTAATTGTTGCAATGTCATCCCATTTCTTTCAGGTAGCAGATCTGAGGAGATCATTGTTAATTCACACTGATGGTCATTGGCAACGCATAGTGGGTGCATGCGGGTGCACGTGCACCCCCTGAGCGTGGCAGTACACCCCCTGCAAAAAGGCACTGCTGACACTGCTGGTGGTGCTTGCAGGCTATTGCTGCTCACCACCCCCTCTCCTTCACTGCCAACACCGCTGGTGGCATCTGTGGGCAGTCTGCAATTGCTGCTGGCCGCCGCTGCCAGTGGCATCTGTGCGTGATCGCCGACTGCTGGTTGGTGCTCACCGCCCTCCCCTCCTTCCACCATGGACACCACCACAGCTGCCTGTGGGAGCTTCCCGCTTGCTGCTGCCATGCTCCTGCCTCCAACAGTGCCGCCACAGCCTGTAGGAGCTCACTGTGCCTCCCCAGCCTCCGGGGCAGCATTCATGCTGATGGTTGTACAATATGCCAGCAAAAGATATCTGCCAAACTAACTGTAGATCTTGTATGCATTATCCACATTAGTGCTGGCCAAACTCTTTGCCCCATGGCTTGATCTAGCACATAGTGGCTCAGCTTAGGCTGGATCCAGCCACACACAAATGGCCTAACTGCAGCCTGACCCAGCTGTGTGAGTGTAGGAGCAGTGTAAAGGTTGTTGCTGCCCTAGGCAAATGAACTGTTGCTGTCCTCCCTTCTAATATACCTAGGACCTGTTGAGGGAGGGCCCCAGGCACTACCCCAGTGTAGCAGCGTGGCTGCCAGTTCTGCCCTGCTTGCTTTGGCATGTGCTCAGACTCCTTGAAGTGGCCCTCAATGAGCATGTGAGGTACATGCACACCAGTTTTTTTCTGATCCCCTTCAGTTTGTTGTCCTAGGAGGCTGCCTGGCTGGATATGCCTGGCCTGGTGGGGTGGGGTGGGTGCAGCTTGGAGCCAATCCAGCCATGTGCAGCCAAGCCAACAATGGTCCATTGCCCTTCATACAGCAGTGGCCCAGCTGGGGCCCAATGCAGCTGTATGGGGCCAGAACAGGGGGTTGGATATTTGGGGGTGGGGAAATCGTGGCAGTGTTATTTGCCACCACTCCCCTACAACCTAAACTCCAGGCCTGTGGGGAGCCCTGCGGACTGGATGATATGGCCTTGTGGCTGGATCTGGCCCACAGGCTAGGATTGAGCACCCTTGGTTTAGATGAAGCTGACATTGCCTGCTAACAGTTTGCTTGCTAACCATCCTCCTGACCTCCCTGGCTTTAACACTCATGTATGCTGTGTGGTCTGCTTAAATACTAACTGCTCAAAAAAGGAAGATATTATAGAATGATAGGAGGGTTACCTAGGGCTGTAGTATGGTACTTGTACTTTTTAAAGAAAAATGTAACACTTGCTGTGGCAAGCTGAATGGCTTGCACAGTAAGTGCTATAGCAGACTATACCCAGAGTAAGAGAAGATGCTTATAAAGACATTTCTGGCCATGGTTTGTAAAAAGATCAGCTCTAGCAGAGACACATAATAAGCAAGATATGCCAAATTGCTCAGAACCCACAGGTCCTGTTTTTTTATAGAAGATACTGGGTGCTGAGGCATATCAACAGAATTCAACTTCCTTTTAAAGGCTGAATCAATATTAATTTAAGTCAAAGGCAGTAATTCCGTTAATCTAGGAGCTCCTCTTCTTACCATAGGCTGTTGATTTATTTTTTTGGAATGCATTCAATTTCAAATCTTCAAGTCACAGGAGCATAGAATGTAATGAACGGAATAATCCTAATATTATCCCTTCTTTACAAGTAATGAATGTTAAGACCCTTGATAGCAGAGAAAACCCCATAACTTATGTAATACAACTGTCTTTCATTCCATTCCTTTTTGTAATTTGTGTGCTTTGATTTTTAAAGTTGTCCTCATCCAAACTTTGCTGATAAAGAGAAACCACGAAAGGCTCATTTTCACTTCACTCACTAATATTTTATTAAGATTTTCTTAATTTGTAAGCACTCACTCCGAGCTCTAAGCATTTTCTGAAAAATTCTAATACATATGCATGATTTGCATAGCACCTGAAGATTTCCAACCAAAAGCTGTAAGAATGCATTTTCAAAGTAATTTACAAAAAAATTGAAAATGAAAGGTGAATTCCCCAGAGAGATAACTTCCCCTTTTGATTTCTTAGCAAAATGACAAATAACGAAATAAGCATCATTTTAAATTGGGAAGGCAAAAAATTGACAAGGAAGCCTCATAGCTCAGAGGAACAATTAGTAACATTGAGCAATACTCAAGCTCTCTCATGAAAGTTGGACCAATCAACCTAAGGACTGTAATTTATCCAAGTAGAAGGACATTCCCACATTTAGTATCCATTTTTCTTGTAAAACTGGGCTCGTGCAACTACATCATTGGCATAATCATTGTGGGTTGTGCCAATATCCATATCAGCATAAGTCCAGACATTTTCAGGTCCTACATTGTAGGCAGCAATCCCACCTGAAACAAAGCATCAGAAGTGTAAACACAGACAGAAAACTAAACATTCTCTCCTAGTTTATAAGAGCTTTTGGAAATGTCTGAATTTCTCTCTTACTTTTTATCTTATTAGATTGAGGTTCTGTGAACAGAATGTATAAAATCCTAAATTCACTCAAAAATCAGGATTTGATGGTTTTACATTCACAGATACCAGTTGCTGCGTGAAAATATAGCATGCAGAGGGCTAACCATGTTCAAACAGGAGGCCTCATTCTTCAGCCTACACCCACACTTCATGAATGAAGACCCAGTAACCTTGTCTCACTCATTTTCAGGGCTGAATGAAAACTATGGTGGGTGAATATTAAAACATGAGCATGAACATCATTCTCCTCCTTTTTCTGAATCTCTGTGCCAGCACTGCATGCTTCACTATAGCATAGACTTGAGCTAGCTGTAAATGAGCTAACCTGGATATTAGAATCAGCCTATATCTAGCAGCACCAAGCTCACTGGATTCTAATTTACTCTATTCCATCTTTCATGCTAACCTGCACGATCTTGTAATTATCTCAAGATTTATTTATAGTTCTCAAAAAGACTACACAGACTTCTACAGAGATTCAGAGTGAAATGCTGGCTATGTTTAAAAAAATGCCAAACCTCCCTTTATCTTCAATGGCTTCACGATAGTACTCATAGGCCACGTCTACGCAAGATGCTGACAGTACAGCCATTTGGTACCTGTAGACACCGGAGTTACTGCAAAGTAGCATCACTAGACAGCTTTTTTTGTGATGCTGACCACGCATTAGCTCATTACTACTGCACAGTAGTGTTGCATCACGTTTCCTGCCACAGGACCCTACTGCACAGTCAGCATTTCATGTAGATGCAGCCATGGTGAAATAGTTGAGGCCCAAATAACAACAAAGGATGCGTAGACACGTTCATTACTGAACTTTAGGTAATGTGCATTAAATTAGTACCTCTCTTATGAGGTACTAGAAAAGGGAGTCTATTTTAATGCACATTAGCAAAAGAGCCCATTGGTTTGTGATGCTTTAATGCCCATTAAAATAAGGTAATGCACATTAATTCTTTATGGATTTAACTATTCCTCCTGCAGTGTTGGAACCTCAAACCCAATATGGTACTAAAGGAAGGGAAAACCAATGTGAAACATGTATTTAGTTTCACTGTCCAAGCTCTGAGAAATCAGGAAGCAGAAGAATTGAATCAATGGTGAAAATTATGAGAGATTCTTGCAGAAGTTCAGTACCACAAGATATTTAATAGGATACATGTCTTAGAATTTCCCTTGTCTCATAGCCTGAATATATTCCATACTTAACCTTTCAGCTGTTGTTCTTTAGTCCACCTTGGGAACTTTCTCTGGATTGCCTTAATCATACCCACAAGGATTTGCGTGCCCTGGATGAGATGAGCCTCAGAGTTCCATGCCCCAACGATTTTATGATACCTCTTATCAACCTAGAAGAAACCAAGGGAACATTACTTCTCTAAGGTAAAAGATGATGGGGTAAATCTTGTATGCAACCAAGTACCTATGTAACATTGTAACTACAATTTTGGCCTTTACATGCAGTTTTCATTCTATGTAACTATGCACCCCCCTGCATTTCCCTTCTGAATAGGCTCATTAGGCTTCATTATGTTTGCATAAGTGCCTGTAGGAAATAGGAATGCCTGGCACCTGTGTAATGGCTATTAAGTCCAAAGCTTTCATCAGAGATGCTGGAGGAGGGTTTGATGCTGTAGGAGGGTCCTAATACCTTTTATTTTAGCCCAAGAGCCTGCTAGGTTCTAGGCTGTTGGTCACCTAGATGGAATTTGAAGCTATATTTTTCTCTTTTTTAGTAATGTGCTTTAATCACCAGGCCATAAGTTAGGCATTGTCCACCACTACCCTCCTGAAGTTAGCCCACCAAACAATGCATTTAATATTCACTGGATAACACTAATCAACAGGAATGGAGTTGTTTCTGTCCCAATGGGACAGGGATCAGGGCCAGAACTCAGGTCTCCCTGTGCCATGGTTAAGGCACTTTTCTGAGAAGCAGGAGATAGAGGCTCAAACCCTCTGGGTGATCACAACCTAGAATCTAAAATGCCTCCCTAGGCAAGTGTTCGAACCATGAGGCCTTTGGGCTAAATGGTGGGAAGGGCTTGCTCCTCCGCATGAGTTCTGGCTAGCATGTGTATAGGATGACCTGTTCCACCACAGGTGGAAATAGGATCTAAATTTGGCAGAAGTACCAAGAATTGTAGTTAAGTGGCTATATTCGTGCCACTTACACATGTAAAGGTGAGATAAGACTTTCCCCAATAAGTTTAGGCAGTTTACTGCCCCCTCAATGCATTCAATTAGCTTTTATTGTGTCAAATCTTCGCCAGAATGCCACGTGATCTTCTCTGTATACTACATTTTCACTACTAGATACTGGCTAACAGAAGCGGAACTGTGCTCAGAACTCAGAAGTTCACTTTTCTAATTGAGGGCCCTAAACACTAAGCTGAAGTCATGCACCTCACATACTGTGACTTGGTGAATCTTGAATAGAGAATGCAATCCAGCCCCACCACACAATAGGCTGGAGGCTTAGGGGGTTAGTCTGAAGGTTTGAATCCCCTGCAGCAGAAGTGGGAATGACACTCACATCATGGGGGAGTGCTCTAACTACTAAATTATATGGAAAAGGGGCCACGTCCTCTCCAATCCTTTCCTTTTGTGCTTTTAATGAAAATGCAGCTGTCACTGCCTCATAGCTAAACATGCTATGAGTATCCTTCCTAGACTGAGGCCTTTTGGGTGGAGATAGGTGGAGGTAAGTCTAGCTGTTGCATTATAGAATTATATAAATTAAAGACTGGAAGGGACCTTGAAAGGTCATTGAGTCCAACCCAGTAGATACCACTAGAACAGGGGTTTTCAATAAGTGTACCCTGGCGGCAGGACACAGAACAAGGGGTGGAGATGGCAGTGCCTGCATGTGAAGCAGCGACAGCACAGGGTGGTAGGTGGTGGCTGGCCACCACATCCAAGCTTCCCCTCCTCCCCATCACATCCAGCTAGCTGGGCAGCACCTGTGTGGCCCACAGAGGGGTGCCGCTGCCCTGGCCCTGCTCTGGCCCTGCTCCTAGGAGGCAGTGGTGCGGGGTGGTAGTTGATGGCGCTCCATCCCCTCAACTCACATGGACCCACTAGGGGCTTCCCAAGTACCCCTGGGGGTACAGAGACCCCCAGTTGACAACCCCTGCACTAGACAATGGGGATGAGATGGGCACTGAGGTACTCAGCCCTGTCAAGACTAAAGTGTTTGTGGGTGTGCACAGAAGCTGAATATTACATGTCTCAGGACCTTTTAAAGTCAAACCCTGAAGTTACCCATTTGCTTAAAGAGTTCCAGAGCTAGGCAACACCTGAGTGAGGGAGGGTGTTTCAGTACATATTTCCATACAAATTTAAACATGTAGCTGGTGACCAGAGGATTGGGAAGCTGAAACCAATGGAAAAGATCAAATGTAAACTTACTATGATGAGAATGCAGAATCACCTCGTTGCTTCATGTAAGGCTTTCATCTTCACAAATGCTGTCACCACAAAATTGACTGTCTGGGTGGCAGGATAAAATGCACAGGCTCTTAAGGACTCTCTTTAACCTCCTAAAACAGTGGTTTTCAACCTTTTTTCATTTTTGGAACCCTAAAATATTTTGAATGGAGGTGCATTGAATTGTAAGTGTGGATATTCACATATTTTTGATTGATCATAATCATCTTTTATGGACCCATTAGATGTACCCTGCGCACCCCTATGGTGTTTGCGGACCACAGGTTGAAAAACACTGTCCAAAAAGGAATCAACACTTTAAAGATGCTTGCTTACAGATCTCGGGTGTCCCTTGTGCCAGTGCAACATGCTGCTGCTGCAACTCTAGTTTGTTTTAATGGTATGGACATCAGCAGTAGCTGCACTATTGAGAAATAAGGCTGTCTTCTTGCCTATAACACCCGTTCGTGCTATCTTGTTCTAAGATTCTTGTAAATTACTCACTTGCATCAAACCGAAGCCATTTCCCCTGTCACCCGAGCCATCACGGGTTAGGGCAGCTCCTGCACGTGACTCTCTAGAGATGATGCCAGCAATCACAGCTGGATCTATGCACAGTTTTCCACCAGCACTTTGAATGATGCCTTTATATTTATTCATTCTGGTTAGGTCCTTTGCAGCAATCGTTTCAGAAGCCCAGACTCCTGTACAAGTAAAGGTTTTCATTATTTAATTTCAGAACGATTTGTCACCCTAGGTAGACACTGTATGAGTTAGGCCGTGCATTTTAACTTATGAATCATGTATATAGTGTCAAGGTGAAAAAGACATGTGACTTGAAATGATACGGAAAATGTTGGTGCTTATCTGTATTGTTGGAGTCAAGGAAGAATGGGTGTGGATTTGCTGGGGAAGTGAAGGGCAATTGTGCAGTGTCTTTGAGGAGGAACAGACAGCACCTGGGACCCTCTAGGCAAGGATCTTGCCTGAAGACAGAAGGATGAGGCAGAAGTATGGAGGGTTACAATCAAAAGGGGGACCCATACTCAGACAGATGGTGGACTTTTATACCTCCAAGAGCCATCTGTGGGAGAGGAGGTAGTAGTCCCCATACTTGCATTTTCCCCTCCTTTTTTCTTTTGAAGCCTCAACATCAGCCCATCCTGCACTGAGAGAAAATCCTATAGGGGTGAAGTTACACATTACATTGAGACCATACTAAATCTATGGAGTGCTAATTTGTATCAAAGTTAGAATGTACTGTGAGCATTTGCATGTTAAAGGTTAATACTGTTTTTTGCCTGCAGAGCTCAAATTTGCCAATAAACGGCTGGCAAGCAGGAATGTGGTAGATTAGTAGCCAGGACATATGGACTCTGTCCCTGCTTAAGGGGAAGGATTGATGGGGGTGGGAGTGGTGCACCTGGGATGCTGGAGGACTGTTATTTCGCTCACTTTAACTCTATGGAGCAGACTGAAATTACCCTAACACAAGGTAGGGAGGGTGCTTAGCACATGTTAATGAGCTTTAACATGTGGACACTTGCTTTAAGTGCCCCTAGTACAGAGTGCAGTGTGTAACTTCGCTCCTAGTTAAATCATGTCTCTGTGTTAAATCCTATTTTATTTTTGGAGCAATCAGAATAAGGTGTTCCTTCAAGTTTACTAGCAGTACCAACAATGACAGCAATGGCTAAGTAAGAGATGGGAAACCAGGAATCTCCCAGTCAGCTCCATCACTGATCTACTGCACAGCTTTGGGGTGGTCACTTTGGTTAAATTTTATAATTCAGGACCACCTAGAGCTTCATCTTCTGAGGTTTATAGCACTCTCAGCACCTTTGATTTCAGTTTGAGGTTTTTGTCTGACTGCTTCAAGAACATAAAGAAGGATCAGAAGCTGCTGATATAAAAATGGACTGTTTACTTTCTGGATCAAAATTTATCAGTCGTTTAACTCTTTTAATGCCAATGGAACAACATAATTTTGGTATTTGTCCCACAGGTAAAAACAGAAAAGGATTATTTTTGCTAGAGGAATATTATGAGTTGGGTGACCATAATAATTTGAGGGAAATCTGGGATGGGGTGGGGCAGGGCGAGGGGTAGCGTCAGCAGTCTGGGCCAGGTAGGACAGTGCATGCATGCCTCTCCCTTCCTCATGGCTCTCAAGAGTGGGACCAGGCACAGACACAGACTGTCCCTTGCCCCCGCCTCCATCACTCCCAGGAGGGGGCCAGACAAAAAAGCAGCTCCTCTGCTCTCCTTCCCCCTCCTCCCAACCTCCCACTCTACTGCACAAGTGACTTTGCTCACAGCCCAATGGAGTCCAGACCAGGGAACTGCCCGTTGGCTGGGCTCCCTGGAGAAAACTGAAACAAAAGTCCCCAGATTGGTGGGGACCCACCCACACATGTTCAGCTCCTGACTCAGGAACTGGGCATGTGTGGACATGTTCCCACCAATCTGGGACTTTTGTTTCAATTTTCTCCAATGGTTGGGACGCTGAGACAGCCTCTGAAATCTGGGACTGTCACTGTCATGGCTAATCTGGGACATATGGTCACCCCAGTCATAAGATTTAATCAATTAACCCTTTTTTCCGTGGTTGGAAGAAATCAAGAGCTGTGGATTACAGTGATCACCCTGTATTCTGAAATGAGCCTGAAAACAGAATCATACTCACCACAGTATGGTAAGCCTTCTGATCTTGCAGTTTGACAAGAAGCCCCAGTGGTATCAACTCCATTTATATTGCGATAGCATCTAGACTGACTGAAGGAAGTGTCTGAAAAGTTAAATAGAGACATTTTACATTAAGGAGCTTTTGTGAGCAGGAGTAAACCTAAGAGAATTCAGAGTCATTAACCATACATACTCTGTTCAAGATGGAGTACTCTGTATTTCATAGGTCTTGGGGAGCTTGCCAGCCAGAAATGATTACCTCTACTGTGGATGAAGTCCTCTTCAGGACTTCACCCTCAGTAGAGATGGATGAAATGGATCTTTCATTGTGTTCTCCAAGAGGCCAGGGATAAAGCATCCTGAGCCAAACCCAAGTGCCTATGAAAGGACACCTCCTATGTCCCCATTCTGCAAGTGTCCTCTAAGTTCTATGAGCTCCATCGTGTGATAGATTCTAATTTTCTAATTCTAATTTCCATTAACTGTTGACAGCCATTCCCTATGCTCATGTACACAGCTAGGACTGGTGGAAATATTAATGAAATGTACTAGGACAGGAGTAGACAATATTTTTTGGCCGGAGTCCCGAAAAAACCACAATGTCTACCTTGGAAGGTGCCAGAGTGCCGACAAGCCGGAGCCTGGAGCAGCTGTTTGCAGCCTCCCGGCTGCAGCCAGTCCCCAGAGCCCAGTCTGCTTGCAGCAGGGCTTGCAGCCTCCCAGCCACCTGATGGGAGCAGCCTGGGCTCTGTGGCTGGCAGCAGCTGCTTAGAGCTCGGGCTGGCATTGGTGTGCCGAGCAAAATGGCCTGGTGTGCCGAGCAAAATGGCCTAGTGTGCCATGCTTGGCATGCGTGCTGGGGTTTGCTGACCCCTGTATTAGGGTATGGACAAATGAGCAAACTCAGGAAAGATATCAGGAGGTATGGACTTTGCATGAAAAAAATGATGCGTGGTAACTGGTCACATTCCTTGAATTATCACACAGTAAGTGAGGGTGCAGATAGAAGTGCAGCTCCCTGCTGTAACTGAGAATGCTTTGCAGGAAGTGTTCTGAGTTTCAATGATCCCCTGGAACCAGCAGAAGTTCACTGTTGGTTCCAGGAGGGAGAGGAATGTAGCTGCTGGCTGCCCCTAGCAATGGCCCCTCCTCCCTGTGAGGCTGCAAAGCTTTCAGAATGGGAAGGGGGAAAGGGAGTAGAGGAAGTTAATTCTAAGGGGTCCCCAGCTGGCCCTGGAGGGTGGGGTGGGTGGATTGGAGCCCCCTCCCCTGCCACCTTGGGAGGACTCCAACACACCTGCCCCATCCTCCAGTGGGGGTTGAAGACCCCCAAACTGAACTCTCTCCACTCCCATTCCTCCCTCCCATTCTGAAAACAGCTTGAGGCTGGCAGACAGAAGTTACAAAAATTGCTGTTTTGAAATGTCTTCATCTGACCCCTCATTCAGTGAGGTGTGAGATTTTCATCCAGTTGGCCATTTTTTGAGCTGTCTGCACCCATGCACATGGGCAACTGGTGCCTCCCAAGTCTGGGCGGGGCACCAGATGGCTGATGGAGGCGGGGAAGGGGTCCCCAGCGTCTGATCCCTGACTGGGAGGAAGGGGTCCCTCAGCAGCTGAGCGCCGAGCGCAGAACCACCAGCAGCGAAACTGGTGAAGCCAGAAGCGCACTCCCGTTGGCACTTGTGCTTTAGCGGCTGGTGCTTCCAGGAGGTACATGGGTAATATCAGGGGGTGCACGTGCACCCGTGTGCACCCCCTACACGTTGCCAGTGGCCTTGCACTTGTGTTTGGTCATGGTTTTAGACCACTTACTGTGGCCAGTTCAGGGAAAAATTGTCACTTCTGTCTGCTCCTGAGTTTTACCAAGTCAATTTACCCCTGAATCAGGTTGGGCTAGCTTGACCTCATGTAGCTTTCAGTTTCTGTGGGGTAACTGTGGGCACATGAGCGGTTATTATCTGTTAACTGTTCAGTGATAAGCCTTTTCCAGGTCTGGTGAACCTACTTTCAGCCAACCATTTGCTTGTAACCTTGATGTCTTATGTGCCCCAAATCTCTTTACTCAGTTGTCGTGGCAGAAAGTTTAGTGAACCAGAGATTGCTCCAAACTCACCAATAATGGCAACTAGGCCCAGAATGATCAGTGGCAGATGCATGGGGGTGGTTCTTCCTGAGCACAGAAGAGAATCTGAAAAAAAATCAAAAGCAGCAAACATGACAAAAGAAAGGCCTTGACACGTCCTCTAACTAAATATAAATACTTGTACACCATTTTATGAACAATTGGATACTTTTCTTGACTGAATGTGCCAATAGTGAAATAGAAAGCAATTCTATGGCTTGGTGTATGGGTAACCATGGCAGAGACCACAAGAATAGTTCTGCCTTTCCCTGACAGAGCATACAAAGAGTCCAGAAGAGAGAGGAGAGAATAGATGTGGAATCGAGCTTTAATAATTCAACCTTGTTGATATTCTAATTTATCTTCCTACTTGTCTTCAAAACTATAATCTCCAAGAATATTTGATTTGGAATTAGTATGATTAACTGTTTTAAGAATTACCAGCTGTTTATTTCCCTTCAAAATTGAACCTTGAGCCTGTGCCAGGGTATCTACAACATGTTGTGATAGTGTTTATTATAGCTTATGCCATATCTGTGAGCAGGAGCAGGATATGATAACTTTCCACAATCTGTGTTAGTCCTTTCTAGCTCTAATTCTCCATTAACCCTATTGTATAATGAAGATCTGTTCAGGAGTGAGGACTGCAGCCTTTGGCCTTCTTTTACTGCCTATCAAAATTTACTGATGTATAGACTGAAGAATAGCTCACATTCTGAATCAGGTCAATTTTTTACTTGCTTCCCTTCACTTTGTATTTTGCCCAAAGATTGATGTTTTGAGGGGGCTTTGTATATACAAGAAGAATATATCCTATTCACTCTAAAAGTTAATGTGATCTCAGAGATGATGAAATATACAGTAATGTTTTGTAACCAAAATAAAATCCATCCGGTATCCATATGGGAGCTGGCAAGGAGGAAAGTGATTTCACAATTCCAGTTTGCTGTGACTGGGATTTCAAATCTCAATTCTTTCTTTTCATTGGGGTCTCTCTTTCCACATGTTCCTCTTGTTTCCCCATCTCTTCCCTAAAAAAAAGCTGGTGGCAAAGACCAAAACAAAGATTAAAGAATTCCTAGCAATGTTTTTTTTTTTTCCAGTCGTGTTCTGGTATCGTAGACTGTTCTCCACAAAGGAGACATGGGCTTGTCTGGGGACATGGGCTTGTCTTAAAGCACTTGAAGAAATTTACTTAGCTTAGACACAGGAAGCTGGCAATGAAAATGTGCCTCTGAAGTTTTTGTATACTTGCGCTCCAGGTGAAAATGACAATGTGGGAGATGTTTATCAACAGAGAGTACCAAGAAGGTAAAAATATACTGATTTATGAACAAAGGACCTATCCTGCAGTTTTAGGACCAGACTAACTGAATCCTAAAGACAGTGATTTGTTTCTTTGAGAAAAATCTCAGAGAAGGGGTTGTATAACACCCAGAATTAGCCTCTGAGAAACTAGAGCAAGCAAAGGAAGTCACCCATCCAAACAAGAATCTAAAATACTACAAAAAAAATGTCCTGAGGAGGAAGCACATTAGACCTGGAAGTCAGAGACTCCAGGAAAAAACAAAGAACTGTTTCTGCCCACCAGCAAAATCCAGAATAACGCTGAGCACAGGACAAATAGCAAAGTAGGCATAGGCTTATTTATATGGACTGGAAAAACTAGGGCCCAACACAGCTCCATTTAAAAACTGATTATTAGATGGCCCGCCAAGGGATAGACAGAGGAGAAGTACCTTGTAAACAAACCTGTATATGAAACTCAAATATAAACAACATGGCTTTGGAAAAAAAAGCAAAAATCAGACAAGCTAAGCAATTCCCATGACAGTAATACTACTTACATGGTCCTACTGAAAGAAGAAAGGTGCTGGTGGGCCGGCGGTCAAATAGTCAGTGCTGTAGAGTTTTTTTTCTGCCTCTCCCAAAATTGATGGCACAAGATTGCACATATTTGTACCTGCTTGCCCTCTTTATTATTGCATTTGTCAGCTCATTTATTTCCCAATTTTAGCCCCAAAATGTTCAAACACCTCTTCTGCACAGGGTTGTGGTTTGTTATGCCATCCTTGCTTAACTGGTTTATAACTGACAGTTGAAGGTTGACAAAACCTTCCAGTTTGTGGAGCGTGTGTGTATGTGCACATGTATGGGGGTGTGTGCAGTCCCTCCCCTCCACATTGTGCACAGCCCTTGCCATGGCAGCAGCAGGTGGTGGAGCATTGGGGTGCACCCTTGGGGTGCTCATGGCCCATGCAGGGAGAGTCGCCTGACAGCACGTGGCTCCAAGAGCTGCACATGGTGGCAGTGAGTAGGACCACGCTGGGCCAGCTCCATTTCATGGGGCTCCTGGTGGCTCACATGCAGCTCTTGGGACTTGCATGCTGCCATGGGGAGGGTCTGCATGATGGAGCCAGTGACCTGGCCCTGCTTCCTGCCACCATGTGCAGCTAGGGGTAGGGGCCGAGCTGGCCAGGCTCCATTGTGTGGGGCTCCCTGCCACTTCTAGCAGAGTCCCATTCTGGACTCTGCACTCCTGGCGCCCCACTGATCACAAGTCCTGTGCTTCAAGCTCTGTACTCCCACTGGCCCTGGTCCTGTGCTCCCTGCTCCTGCCCAGCTGCAGCTTCACCCTGGCCACCCCCACTTCCCTACCTGCTGCCCGGGGCACTGCCCTCTCCTCAAAAAAAACCAAAACTCACTGCTCGTGCCTCCCTTGACATGACATCGTGCCTCTCCAGTGAGGCCTATCTTATCGTTTGAGAACCACTGATCTAAGGCAGCATCCTTTCAATCAAACAAATACTTCAAGGCGTAACAGGTGAGTGAGAAAGGGAGGACACCCTAGAGCAAGAGTAGGGTGAGGGTTGTGTGGTCACCAGGGGGTGTCATGGCCACCCCTGGAATATGAACCTTGCTATGATCAGATTAATAAGGGAAATATTAACTAAAATCAAGCAGTTGTATGCAATTTTTATTTAACTAGTTTTTAAATATTTAAGTCTATATTTGTAATCAAATGAGAGGCCAAGGTAGTAGCATGGAAAGGAGAGTCCCTTTTGTAAGTGCTCTATTATTATGTGACAGATCATTTGGAGAGGTAATGTCCTATAAGTCTAGTGTCTTGTAGGTAAAATCTTGCAATTAACAGAGTGACTCAAAACATTTTGAAGTGATTAAGGGAAGATGTAGGTTCAGATGTGAATTATAATTTGAGGAACAACATAAATTATACGTATACATATAAACAACAAATTATACAGGTTTCCCTCGCTTTATGCAGGTTCTGTATGTGCGAAATTCCTCTTATGCGATGACCCTTTTTATACCAAAAATTCATTATATGCAAGATAAATTCACTCTTATGTGATGGGTGTGGTGGAAGCCCACAGTCAGCTCCTTTGTGCAGTGCATTGTGAGAGTGACGTGCACCAAAAGATGTGACGCGCTCCTGTGTGGATCTGTGCTCCTCACTCATTGTCTGAGACATGTGTTTCTGCAGTTGCAATCCCCATTATGTTAACATTCACCACCATCCTGTGCTTGAGTGTATTGTTTGCTGTTGGTGAGTCCCAAAATTGACTTCTAAAAGTGGTAGAAATGGGTCTGGGGGTCAGTACAGTTGTGGACTTCGAACGTATCCCCATTTGTTACATTGTAAAGTGGGTTCCCTTTATGCGAATTTGAGTTATATGCCGTTTTCCAGGATCACATGTACAGCATAAAGGGAGAGAAACCTGTATGCATACATGTAATAAAAGTAAATTTCCTTGAACTTTCCTCCTTAACTGTTTAATGATAATTCATTTGCTTGGCAAAGCAGCCCTGCAGTGTATTTTCTAAGTGCTTTTGCAACACCTTTGAATACAAATTCTAAGAGTGCTCTTGCATTTTGGTTTACTGCATTATGTCCAACAAGTGTTAGTATGTAAACAGGTTTTTGGTTGTAGCTGCGTTGATCTAAGGACATAGGCAGGCAAGGTTCTTTGAGTAGATGTGATATGTTTTATTAGACCAGTTGAGTAGTTGGAAAAAAAGTTCTTAGTAAGCTTTTGGGCACAGTCACCCTTCGTAAGTTAACGTCTATTTAAAACATAGTACAGTGGGAGTGCTGTCGCTTTTGGAAGTCAGCACTGTAGGTTGAGTCTGTCTTCAGATTCTTGATGCTCACATCATTCAAAGATGTAGGTTGTAGCTGTGTTGGTCTAAGGACATAGGCAGAGAAGGTTCTTTGGGTAAATCTGATATCTTCAATTAAATCAACTAAATAGTTGGACAATTTTTTTTTTAGCAAGCTTTCGGGTTTAACAATCCTTTGTCAGACTGAGGAAGTCCCTGCAGTTGGTTTGTGCTGTTCCTGGATGGAATGAACAGTAAAGAAGCCAGAGACTGGTCTGCATGCAAGAACGCCTGTTAGTGAAGATGTAAATTGAGGAGTTAGTGGGTGAGAGAAAGGCTGGGGGGGGGGGGGGG